TCAATAAGGGATTTGAACTTTACCAAGTATGGGGAAGTCAGAAATAAACCATGAAACATTCAAAAGATTTTACTTTCCCACTGGTTGCTTTCAGTCTCTCATTCTCTCTTGTGTGGACACAGTTGGAACATGTTTTCATAGATGGGTTTTCTCTTTGGATTCAGATACCTGTGAATATGCTGCACCAGTTATTACAGACACATCTCTCATGCCCTGGGGACTTGGGCTACAGATTAAAAATGGTGCTCTTTGGGACATAAATCTATCAGCTATTTGATGAATACACTCAGCCTGTTAGTCCATCTTGTTGCAGATTCTGTTGCAAAGTGCAATGCTACCTCAGTGGAGCTGCTACTTTTGTCCCTCTCATTTGTTTAATGTTTCTTGCTTCCTGTCTCATAAAGACAGAGCTGTGTCTGCTGTGATAACACAGATCAAACATTTTTGAAACAATGAAGAAACCTAAATGTGTAATGATTTATTTTCAATATATGTGATTCGTAATCAGAACATTAGGAAGTGGCAGGTACAAGTGTTAACTGTAAGACTTGAAGTGTACTCTGCTTTATGTATGTTGAACGCAAATGACAAATGAAGCTGGGAAGCTCCAGCATCCTGGAGTAAGTACCACAGAGCCAGTCATTTATAGAAGACAGCAGCAAAAAGCACGAATGGGTGGAGACAGGAAGAAAATCCACTGGTGTGAACAGATGAATTATGTGCTTCGGGGCACTGAGGTCATTTTATCAGTTCAACAGGACAGAATCAAACCAGTGTGAGAAAATTCGCAGGAAAGTTGTCATAACTGTAAAAATAGGAGCTCCTGTAATGAAGACTGATATAGTCCAAATTACATCAGGGAGGGAGGAAAACAAATGGGGTTGGTGTCATCTGCCATCAGTCAGCTCTACAATAGAATCAATAATTTTTTTTTTTTTTTTTTTTTTTTTTTTTTTTTTTTTTTTTTTTTTTTTTTTTTTTTTTTTTTTTTTTTTTTTTTTTTTTTTTTTTTTTTTTTTTTTTTTTTTTTTTTTTTTTTTTTTTTTTTTTTTTTTTTTTTTTTTTTTTTTTTTTTTTTTTTTTTTTTTTTTTTTTTTTTTTTTTTTTTTTTTTTTTTTTTTTTTTTTTTTTTTTTTTTTTTTTTTTTTTTTTTTTTTTATGGACTGCAATTTAAAACAACCACAGAGGGGATGACATCCCTAGAGATAATATAGCTGTACTCTATGGTCATAATTGCTCAGTTACCATTTAACACTCATTTTTAAGGTCCAAACCAATGACTTGCAGGATAAGCAGCTTCTAACATCCTGTTGCAAAGCTTGTAAGGGTACAGTAGTGTCCATGAGATCAAATTAAACAAATCTGGGAGGAATCACAGAATCATTCAGGTTGGAAGGGACCTTTCAAAGTCATCTAGTTCAACTCCCTGCCTAAAATAGGTCCACTTAAAGCAGGTTGCTCATGTTCTTGTCTAGCTGAGTTTTCAATCTCTCAAAAAATGGAGACTCCACAGAGACTTTGGGCAACCTGTTCCAGTGTTTGGCCACCCTCATGATTAAAAATAAATGAATGAATTTCTTAGACCTAGAAGAAATTTCTCACGTACCAACTTGTGCCTCTCATCTTATAACCATGCATCTCCAAGAGGGGTCTCACTCCATCTTCTCTACAGTCTCCCACTAGGCATCTCTAGACAGCAATAAGAGCTCCCTCTCAGCATTTTCTGCTCAAAGCTTTCAGCTCAAAGCTGGATTTGTTCAAGCCCAGTCCTCTCAGCTTTTCCTCACACATCTTGTGCTCCAGCCCCTTGAGCAGCTCACTGGTGAGCCCAAAATGGGATGCAGCACTACAGAATTGATTTCACAGGTGCCCAACAGGGGAAAAGAACCACATCCTTTGATTTGCTGGCTACAGTATGCTAATACAGCCCAGGATGCAGCTGGCCTTCTTCAGTGCAGACACACTGCTGGCTGATGATCAATTTGTTGTTCACCACAATTCCCACGGCCTTTCCTCCAAAGCTGTATTCCAGCCGGTCAGCCCCAAACTGTACTGGTGTAGGGGTTATTTCATCCCACATGCAGGACCCTGCACCTGACTGTGTTTGACTTCATGCAGTACCTGCAAGCCCATTTCTCCAGCCTACCAAGAACCTTCTTAACAGTAGCCCTGCCCATTATCATCTGCCGAGAGCACAGCATATATCCCATCTCTGTCTTACCATTCAGTTCATTAAGACCATATTACACAGAATCAGCCTTAGAACTGACCCCTTCAAAGGACACGGCTAGTAAGCAGCTGCCAGATGGACTTTGTCCCATCGAGCCCTCTGAGACCAGAATGACATGCCTAAATGAAAAAATGGACAATTATGACTCTTTAACTGCCTGTGACTTGTGAGAGCATATGATCGCATTGATGGTTTGTAACACTGACGGCAGCAGGCTGTCCCAGAGCAGGAGCTGCTGGGCAGTCCAAGTCCCCAGCTGTGGGAGGGACTGAATCAGCCAAGAATGACGAGACCCACACTAGTCATTCATATGAAGCCACACTATTAATTCAACAAAACTAGCCACAGTTGAAGCAATGAAGCTTTCTGCGAGCCATTATCATCTCCCAGCTGAGACCCACTTCTGAGATATGTCATATAATGCAGCCCTGGTAGCAGAAAGGGTGGTCGCCTCAGACCAAAAGACCGTGCTAGGAGCACTGTCATTTCAGTGGGATTCTGGGTGAGCACTGGTGTGGCAACACTGACCACAGGAAACGGGATACATCAGTAACTGAGATACAATGCCGTGAACACCCACATCCTAGGGGTATACACAGTGAAAGCAACCATGTTTTATACAAACAAAATGGCCTTACAAGACCCTGGACAGAGGCCACCCAAGGAGGAGCTAGATGGTGCCTAGGTGTAACCGTTCCTTATTCATGCTAGAGTCTTGCACTTTACTTCAGAGATATACTTGTGCACTGTAACACATTCTGTCTTAACACAACAAAACATTGGATGTGTTTTTTGTAGCACCAAATCATTCACTGTATGAAGGAGAGAGGATTGTTTTGTTATGACAGATCCACACAACAGGAAATCTGGGTTCTGTTCCCAGTTTCACAGCAGACTTCCTATGTAGCATTAACCAAGCCTCTTTTGAGCCATATACTCTGTTAAAACCTATCTAAAAATGCTATCATGACTTTACTGAGAATTTCAGAAAGTGAATTAATAATAGAAAATAGGATTACTTCTTTCACTGAATGTTCCACATTTATTAAATACTATTTATTCTTCTTAATGAACACTTACAAATCTAACGGTATTTGCAAGGGTTTTGAGGTATTCAGCGGAAAATGCAAAGTGTTACCATTGTTTCTTAGCCAAGTACTGTGTCACTTCTTTCATAGTGTATTTAGAAACAAGCACTAACAAATCTCCAAACCTCTCCAAACTTCCTCTGCACCCCAGTTCTTCCCCTGGTGGTGCAGGGCTTACAGTGCTCCCATCAACTAGGTGGATCCTCTCACCAATAGTATGAGTGAAGCCACCCAAAGTTTCACTTTGAAAAAGGAAATGCATTTTCCTGAATATGTGCCAGATTCCACTCCCTCCCTAACTCTCTGCACTGCTCAGTTGCACATAGTTTAATGACATGAAAGCTGCAGAATTAGTGATCCATTACTACTCTATCACTGCATTTTCAGTGACAATGACTCATTTTATTGCATTAGGAAAGAAAGTATGACTGAGAAAGGGTGCGGTAGTGAATTGTGTACGTAAATGAGCCCACGAATCCTAGAAGATTCTAAAAATTTCTTTTTCACCTGAAAAATAGAGAACCAGTAGCAGAAATGACATGGGCAGTGCTCTAAATATCAAGTATTTAAAATCGTGTGGAAGAACCACAGAAAACATATTGTAAATATATATGTATATTAAAAGAGAGATAGTTATGTATGACAACAGCTTTGTAAGCGCTACAAGACTAAATTAGTACATACAGCAAATAAGATGAAGAGCATTATATCCAAGGTAGTCCCTGTAAATGACATACAATTAAGTACTTATAAAAGATCCATGATAACATATAGTAAATATGAAAGACATAGCTACAGCAGTTATAATTCCCCTATGTTAGTAGCCTTCAAAACAAAACTCACAAGAATAGATCTGGAGAAGTCATCCAAAGAAATGGGAAGAATAGGTGGTAAAGGAAGCTACCACCATTTCTGAATTGTGTTCTTGACAAGCTAACATTTTAGCCAGAAGCTTTCTGAAAATATCAATTACTTGTCCAGTGAGAGTAACCATCAATAATGAATATTACTGATGACTACATTTCATTTCACATCAATCCAAAGTACCTATTCATCCCCATTATTACAGGATGATTGAAAAAAGAATACTTCCTTAAACATTTCATTGAATATGTTATTCACCCTATTTTCAAAATAGTATCAAACTAAATTTCAAAATGAGATGGTGAAAAATTTTGTTTGGAGAAGAGTGACAAAAAATATTTTTATACTCTGAATTCCTTCCCCTCTACCTCAGTGTTTTTTCAGATAAAATTACATGCCAGATTCAGAATTCCCAAAAATACAGACAGAGCTCTTGTACCATCTGGTTTTTGCCCCTCTGCTGAGGTATCATCCTTTACGCAAATTCATGTCAGCAAAGATGTTAAGACAAATGCTGAAAAATATGAGGTAATTTTTCAGAAACACTAATCCTTAAAAAAATTAGTAATAAGCATAAAATTTAAGTTAAGAGGTAGGTTGGATTTGAGCTCTCCATATAAATATAAAAACCCTAGTATGGCAATATTCATCAGGTGCACTATTGTGAAATTCCACTGGTTCGATGTTAGGCCATATCACGTTGTGAGCTGTATATTTCCTCATATAAGTAAATTTTCTGAAGAATAATTGCAGGGGAAGAAAATAACAGTGTGATAGAATGACATTTTTAGTAAAATAACCTTTAACTAAGTTCACACCAAAAGGTTAGCTGTGTTTGTATCTTAGATATATTTTAAATTACAAAAATAAATTCCAGGTTTTCCTACCAATCACTCATGATTTCAGGAAACTTGCTATTGACTGAAAACTATTATCTCTAGGGCTTATCACCAGATGTGTAAGTGT